TAATTAAAAGCGAATTGAGAATTTCAGCCTAGAGTTAATAATATGTTAACTTGATGCCAACCATCTGTTTAATTCCTTTTATGTTGAACATTTTTTCACTTTGTAAAATGATATTTTTCTTGTCGATAGAATGAATATAAACGTATATCAAACAATGGAAATAATAAGGAGCCTGCAATACATTTTCGCCAAACATATTTTTTAGAGACATCTTATAATAACAGAGCTGGCTTTACCAATCCATGCGGCGTAATGGAGAAACAGCATTCAGCTTTAGAAATGAAATGCCAAGAAAAAACCCTGAGACATAAGAAAAAACATATTTGGATTATCAATGATATCAGATATAATAATCGGATATTAAGCTTATTTTCAAAGATCTTCCAAACGCAAGGAAGGTAAAAAATTTGAAGAAATGGTAATCTAAATAATTACAGGCAAGGTAACAGTATTATTACCGCCATTTCATCATATTTGATATTTCAAAATAAAATTTCAACGCTAAAACGTTGAGGAGCGTCCCGTAGTCTTCAATCCCTTATAAGTAACTTCCGTGCTTTCTCGATTTATTAACTCTCGTCTGTTTAAAGTAAAAGCTACTCAGCCCTCTTCTTTTACCTCCCACCGACCACCCGCCTGCAACATTTTTTGTATCGAAAATAGTCTCAGTGCTTTCCCAGTCGTTTATGCCTTTATTCATGGACCCTTGAAGTTGCCACTCTATACGAAGTGAATCAGCACTAACTGGCTTACCGTTCCATAACTCGTAATGGAAGAAATAGGTCAGACTTTGAGCCAAGGTCAACAGATAGACCACCACGAATCTTTTCTCCTCCCTCGCTCCACTTTTCTTCAAAAGATCTCTTTGCAGTAAGTTTCCCCGAAGGCTTCAAGGCGAACTTGAGCGGTCTTGATATTTAACAATGGTTAGGAGCGCGGTGGGTCAAGATTGGTTCAGGAAGAAGGTCGAGGAGCACCACGTCATGTAAGCAGTAGTAACGAATATATTTTCCAACTTTGCAAAGGAGAATTTTTTTCGGTTTTCGTATGAACAAACTAGATTTTAAACACGAGTATCCAACTACAATCATTGTTTAGCTCTGATATCTCAAAGAACAACCTTGCCATAGTTGATACTTACTTCTCTCCAACAGTCCAAGTTATCAAGTTGACTGGCGGTCTCTATATTTGAAAATATACGTGAGGAATATGGTAAATAACAGCTTTTTAATAAATTCAAGCTTTTCTACGACGTATTCTATGTATTGAAAACACCTTCAGGCTCAACATTCACCACTTTCATTTACTTCATCGTTGCGCAAAAACATCACGTTCATTCAACATTCTCATCCAAGCAGTACGAGGGAAGTTTGTCACTGTGGACTTAGTTAAACAGCCTAGCTTGCCTGCCACGTGTCACCTGTAGCTTAGTGGTAGAACACCCGAAGTACTAATTGGAAGGTCGTAGGTTCGACTCCTATTGGGTCGTGAGCACTTGGAGTTCTTTTTTTCTCCAAGTATACCCGTGTCATTCACTAACATTGTATAAGATACTGTATAAGGACCCTTCCTTGGGGCGTATACAGTCGGTATACGCAATTGTATAGGTAAATTTAAGGATGTGTAAGGTCCATATAATGATCAGTACGTGTCGGGATATGCTAAGAAAATACCAGGACCGTCTAAAATGTGATATAATTCCTAACATTTCAGTATTCATGCCACCATACATCATGAATATTGTGAGTGACATGCGATATACTGGTATGTATACTCGGCAGATACACGGGTTCTTATCATCGGCTCCATGTTTAATTCCTTATAGCTAAGTGTAAAAAGCAGTGTGTACATATCGCACAATACAATAAGACCAGTGTATTCTAGAATATCTACGGAGCATACGGACTGATATATTTTTGTTCGGATTCATTGCATTCAGAGCAAGGCATCGACGTAATAATATCGAAACAGACTGAGAACCGGAAATATTCATTTAACTTTGGGACCTACAGAGGAGTATAGAATGTTGAAAAGAGTGTATTGTAAATGGCAAAAGGAGTGTACTGCTTAGACGTTAAACGACGAAAAGACACAAGTTCTTATGCATGAAAATATTTCATTTGTATTCAAAGGCACCATGTGGTTCTGCATGTGGTTCTCAAAGGGGACTTCGGCAAAGAAACACGGAAAAAGCAGAAATCAAACCTCGGTTAGAATTACATGTCGAATCAATATCATTGCTATACGTGATGCTGCTTGATAATAGAACAATGTAATGTAGTCTTTACATTATACCGACCCACAAGACGCTACTTTTAGCATGCGCGGCCAACTGCATTGCGGGCACTATCCTTCATTACCTCATTATGTAATGGAAGGGCGCTCAAGCCAACTGGTTTTTTTCAACTATTAGTTCAGTAGTGTTCTTAGCTGCGAGGATCTCTTAAAATT